CGGGCGGGGCGGGGCGGCGCGCGGCACTCACAGGGCAGCGTCTCGGCGCTGTTCTTCTGGATCATTATGCAGAGCTGTAGCACCAGTTGGGGGGCGCTCTCCAGGAAAGTCTCCAGGAGGCGCAGCATGTTGACGTCTGCATATTCGTACATCATAGCCCAGTAGAAGCGTCGCTGGTGTTCCTTCTGCCGCTGGCTCTGAATCCCCAGGTACATGGTGCGGATATACCTGCCAGGAGACAGGACAGAACACACAGGAGTGTGGGTGGGCACGGAGCTGCAGTACGATCCAGCAGAAGTCCGCTAAAACCAAGATCCTCTCCCACCCGCTGTGGGCAGAAGTTCCCAGAGGCTTGGATATGAGTCTAGGTTCATCTGGCCTAAGGATGCGGTGCTAGGGCCTGGGAGTCAGGAACTACCCTCTCCTGGCCTCCATCTGCTCATCTGGAAAACGAGCCAGCAGGGCCACAGGATAGCCGAGAGCCGGCCAGTCATGCATCTTGGCAGGTCTGAGGGCTGAGGGTTTGGGAGCCTTCTGGCAGGGCAGCCCCCAAGATCTAATGCTCTGGAGAGGAAGGTACTTAACATCTGTGAGTACCACTCCCTGGCTGGCCACACCCAGGTGGTGAGTCCATGGGCGTAATTCTCACCGATGGCAGTGGGACAGCTGGGGCACTGAGCGTCAGCTGCTTGGGCTGGCAAGGCTGGCACAGCCTGTAGGAGGTGGCCCCAGGCCACTGTCCCCTGAGCTTGTGTGTCCTCCTCTGCACCAGGGAGGCCCAGAGACTGCAAAGGAGCCTCCATCCACTGGCCCTACCCAGGATGACACCTAGGCTCTGTGGGAGGGCTAAGGATCAAAGGGTGCAGGTACAGGTAGAAAAGCAGAGGCTCCAGGTCAACTCTGCAGACAGGGACCTTGAGTCAGCTGTCCCCGCCCTGTACCCTGACAGAGCCCGTGAGGTGGGTGGACACTTGATTGGCCAAAAGATGTGCATGGTGGGCACTTGGCCTGGAGTTCTGTCTCCAGGATTTAAGGTGCCAGGTAAAACCAGCCAAGACTCAGAGAGTCCTGGGCTTTGTGTGCCCCGTTAGATCAAGAACAGGAGCCTCAGACCAGGTGCCAGGCCACTGGGAAAAGCTGGCATACATCACTGAGCCTTCAGAAATGCCCAGCCGGAGTCCTAAAGATGCAGCCTGTGAGTGACACCCCACCGAGGCCCTGCCATCCTCCAGCCTCTCCAAGTGCCCACTTGGGACTGTGGATGGTCCGCTCTGTCCTCACGGCTGCTGTCCTCCCACCAGCATCGAGCCTCCTCACCAGCCTGCACTGCTGCTCTGCCCCATAGCAACCTCTTCACCTGGCAGCCAAAGCGCTCTTCGCGGATCCTGAGTGTGAAGGTGCCGCTTCCTCTGCTGACCAGCAGCCGCCTCCTGCTGCCCTCAGTAGCCCACAGCTCGCACGGCCCCGGCCTTGCCGTCCCTGGCCTCGCCCCGTTCTCTCGCCTTCCCCTTCCCATCTATCCTGCCTCTCATGAACTCCAGCAGATGTTCTAGCGGTGGGCCCCCGCTTCGGTGCCTGGAGATTAGTGCCATGGCACTCTGGGCTACAAGGGCCTTTGGGGGTGGTTTGGGTGGCTGTGTCCGGAGAACTGCCTGGGGATGCACCCCATAGTGGGCAGAGACACCCCTGCTGAGAACTAAAGCAAGGGCCTGAGGCGGAGGCAGCTTAGGGGAGGAATGGTGCAGGGAGGCTGACGGGCGCCTGCCCCAGCCAGGCCCTGCAGGTCTCCCTGCTCACCGAGTCACGCATGTGGGTCAGGCCTAGTTATCACCGTCTAACAGGTCGGGGGACTGAGGCTCTGAGGGGAAGCAAAGCACTGAATTCTGCTTGTTTCAAGTTGTCATTCGCTGGCTGTGGCACTTCCCACGACTTGTTGCCCCTTCCTGGGCCCACGCATTCCCAACACCAAGGAGCCAGGGGGGAGGCCCAGGAAGAGGCCCAGAGATGCACAGGCTAAGAGGGAAGAGAGAGAGGGAGAGAGGGACAGAGGGACAGAGGGGCAGAGAGGGGGGGGAGAGAGAGAGAGAGAGAGAGAGAGAGAGAGAGGAGAGAATCAGGAAGAGAGAAGCAGGAGGGAATCAAAGGAGGAAAGGCATCCAGTACTGCATAGTACTGAAGGTCTCACCAATCAGAAGCGGTCCCTGGCCCAAAACTCAGCTCTGCCTCATGCCACGGGACCAGACCACAGACTGCTGTGCTCCCCCACAAGTGGCCAGCTGCTGAAGGAGCTGTGTGGCTGAACTGAACCTGTCTATCCGGGCTCTAAGATGACGCCAACGCTCAGGTTCACTGAGGTCTGCCCTTCCCAGCGCCAAAGGAGCCCTGCCCTGTGCCCCACCCTCCGCCTTCCTCAGTGCCCTGCCTCTCTGCTCACTGAAGCCAGGGCAGAGGAAGAGAAGCAGCCCAGCAGTGCTAATCGCACTGGAGCACAGCAGGAGAAGCCAGCCTGTCTCTTCTGTGACAGCCTAGGGCACAGGAGGGGCAAAGTCAGTCTGTTCCCATGCCCACCAGCAAACAGGTACCAGACATAGGGCACTACAGAACCCGCGGCCATCAATTCGCCCACCGTGGGTGTTGGCCTCCTGGTCCCCAGCACACAGCTCTCTCTGGAGTGAGAGCTAAGCCAGGGCCCAGCCCCCTTCCCTCCTGGATGCCTCCAGGCCCCAGCAAGGCTCTCGTTTCCCCCTCTCTCCTCTTGGGGCCTGGGAGGTGACAGGGGCACTGTCTTGCAGCATTAGGTCTGCACACTGCTGTGGCTTTATGGGCGAGGATCCCAGCGTCTGAGAGTGAGCTGACCCGGGTCAATCACACAGGGACGGTGAGGCTGAGCTGCCTCCCAGATGCTGCTTGTCCCCGACAGCACAAGCAAAGCCCGTGTCCCGCCTGCCCACACACACACTGTTGTCCCCAAGGGTGCAGGCGTTCCTCCTCTGAACGTGCCCGGATGTGCCACCTCCCTTCTTGGGAAACCTCTCGCCCGCCCCCAGTCCTCTCGCCGGTCTGCATCCGTTCGGGCTAGGTGACCTCTGAGGTCACTCTGCCGGCTACGGAGTTGGTCCTCCAGCTCTCCCCGCAGACATCCTGGCCGGCGGCCACACGGTGGCGCCAGACCCTAAGTGTCGCGGGAGGGACGCTGCACCCCGGTGATCTCATACCTAGGACGCGCGCGCCCTCCTCTGCGACAGTGCGGGTGCAGGGGCGGGGGTGAGGCGCGGTGTGCAGGGGAAGGCACAGGGATTCAGGCGACACGCGGCTGCCACGCCTCCAAACTCCCCAGTCCTCCCTTCCTTGGCAGATGCCAAAACACTCACTTCCCGCAGGAAGGGGCCCAGGAGAGAAGACACCAACCTGCTCCCCCTGGGTCTGCTTCCGTGTCTGTGTCACCTCTTGTCTCACTGTCTCCCCCTGAGAACGCTGGCTCATATGGCGCACAGGTGTCAATGTGGAGAGGACTCGGGGAACGCGGCCTGGTCTGTGCCCCGCAGGACTGTTGTCAGTGTGGGCAAGTCACCTCCTGGCTTAGCCCTGGCCGTCCAAATGCAGCATGGAGGGCAAGCTGCACGGCCTCGGAGCTCCTACCCGCATTTTATGACCTTATTCTTCCTCAAGCAAGTGGCTTCACACAGTGCAAAGTATTGACTCGTTTAATCCTCATAACCACAGTGTTCCCTCATCCTCACAGGTAGAAGAAATGTTCCTCAGTTTACCCAGCTGCTTAAGTGGCTGCACAGGGCATTGCATCAAGCCCAGTCCAGGCCCAGTGCCCTTCGCCCCTGAAACACAGCTCTCTGGGACTCCCTCATCTCTGCCTTCAGGACCAGATCCAGCCTGCTCCCCTCATGACAGTGGAGAAGCAGGGTTTGCCCTGAACCCTGGGCTCCCTCAGGACTCTGCCACACAGACCACCACATAGTGGCAGTGAGCCCTGCTCCCTGGGCTGCACTATCTCCTGTCGGCTACTCTGCTCCATTGTGAGCCTTGGAATTGTTTGCAACTCCTTATCCCCGGCTCCAGGAGAACCCAAAATTCTGTGAGCAGCCTTCTCCACAGCAGCACTTCAAGGAGGCATAGTTCCCATCTTCTCTCTTTTTTTCTGTTGACTCATCTGAGGTTCAGAGAGGCTGAGCGATTTCCCCAAAATCACACAGCCAGTCGTGGTCCAGGCAAATGGGACAAGGTCTTCCCCAGACCGTGTGCTCCACTGGGAGTTAGCAAGGGTGATTTCCACAAGAGGCAGGAGGCTGAAGAGGTTTGCCTGTCGGGGCCTACAGTCCCTTGCTTGCAGAAGTGGCTTTTGAAACCTTCGATTGCAGAGAGCAACTTATCCTGAAAGCTCCCCGCAGGGCTGTGCCCAGATCTGATGGGAGCCTCTCTCTGAGAAAAGGAGTAAATTCTGCCCGTCACTTAGACTATAAACAACACCAGATCTGCATGCTTTTGTCTGGAAAATGGAAAAGGAAAGAAGACTTCCCTCTTCGTTTAATGAGACCAGCATTACTTCGACATGAAAGCCAGATAAACTTGACACAGGAAAATTAAACTGCAGGCAGTATTCCTCTAAATAAAGATGCAAATGTCTTAAAAATAGTAGCAAATCAAATAGTATGTTGCAAGAATGATACGACAGATCTGACTGGGGTTTATGTGCGAACTGGAAGGCTAGTTCAGTATTCCAAAAAAAACAATCAAAGTAATCTATGATATTATTCACAGAAACCACTCAGCACATCAGTGGATGCAGAAAAAAGCTGTTGACAAAATGTAAAATCCACTCATGATAAAAACAAAAACTCTCAGCAAACTAAACATAGAAGGAAATTTCTTTAACCTAGTGTAGACATGGGGCATTTATAGCAACCTACACTTGACATCATACTCAGTGATAAAAGGTGGAATGCTCTAGTCTTGAGGTCAGGAACACGGATGTGATGTTAGTTTCCTCTCCCTTTAATTTAGCATCATACTGGAGGGCTGGCCTGTGCACAAAGTCTAAGACAAATATACACAGAAAGACTGCTAAGAAAGAGGTGAAACTGCTCCAGATGTAAATGACATGATTGCCAAGACTGAAAACACAGAGTAGCTACAAAACTTCATAGAATTCATTCATACATCTAACAATGTCTTACAGGACAAGGTCCGTGTATAAAAATCAATAGCACTTTATAAACTATTAATGGGCAACTGCAATTTTAAAAACATGCACTATTTAAATTAGCTCCAAAAATGAAATTCTTAGAATTCTAATAAAAACTGTGCAATGTTTATATGCCAAAGCTACAAAATGCTAATCAAAGAAAATAAAGCCAATTGAGATGACAATAAGACATACCAAGCTCATGGATTGGAAGATGCGGTTCTGTAAAGGTGACAGTTGCCCCCAAATTGATATATAATTAGAAATAATTTCAGGAAAAATAAACATACCAACAGGAGTTTCTTTTCTTTGTTTTTTTTTTTCAGACTCTAAAATCTCCATAGAAAGGTAAAGGAACTAGAATAGCCAAACTTCACAAAAGAATACATTTGAAGAGCTCACACTATGATTTTGGGACTTACTATAAAACCACAGACAGTGTCACATTGGCAGAGAAAAATGAGGATCAGGGAAAGAGAACAAAGCCCGGAGCAGACCACGTAATTACGGTTAACCAGTTTCTTATAGGGGCACTAAGTCAAGAAAAGAAAGTCTTCCCAATGACACAGGAACAGTTTGTTGTTTATATGCAACAACAAACAAGCTGTGGCATAGGTTAAGATGTAAAAGAAAGATGTTAAGAGGAAAACCTAGAAGAAAATCTTTGTGGCCTTGCCTTGGGCAGAGTTCTTACATATGACAGCAAACGCATGATCCGTAAAAGAAAACTTGATGAAGGAAACTTCCTCATAATTAAAAATTAAACATTTCTGTTATGTGATGGCATTGTTAAGAGAAGGAAAAGACAGGCTAAGGCAGTGATGGTGAACCTGTTGGAGCTTTCAGTGATACAAATAGCCTGCTGCTGCATGCGTGCCATAGGTTCACCATCACTGGGCCAGAAGACACCAGGAAACCCGTGACCATGGCCAAGCCATCAGTAAGATAGCAAATCAACCCAGTGTTTCAAAATGTTTGAACAGACATTTCACCAAAGAAGACATACAATGGTAAATAAGCATGAGAAAAGAGTTCAACACTGTAAAATCAGGAAGCAAATATAAAACCACAATTTAAAAACACAATGAGTCGGGGCTTTGTACTATGGAAATCACTAACACTTGTATTAGTCTGACAATATCAAGTGCTGGAGGGAGAATGGAGCCACAGGAATGCTCACAGAAGGCAGGAATGAAAGCGATGGCCTGGGCTCCCTGGGAAACAGCTGAGAGTCTCATAAAGGGAACCACAGTCTCACCATGCCACCCACACCTGGGTTTTTATTCTGGAAACCAAAATTTACGTCCTCACAAAAAGTGTGTACACACATTTTTGCAGTTGTACTCACAGTTGCTAATTATGCCTCAACAGGTAGCTGGATAAACAAACATGCACATCCATACAGGAGGATGCAGGGCAGGAACCATCCATATGGTGGCTCTCAGAGACTTCATGCTGCAGAGCCTTCCTCTGTCAATAGCCACAGACCACGTGGTCAGCACTAGGACAGGTCAGAGACACTCCTGGATTTACAAGGGGTTATGTCTCAAAAAGCACATCTTAAACTGGAAGTATGAGAAGTCAAAACTGCGTCCGATATACTTGACCACCGAGGCCCGCGGTCAGCAGTCAGCGAGCCTGTATACCGGAAGGAAGGGTGGGATCGTGGGGCTGTCAGCATGGAGAAAGGACTGTGCCAAATAGCACAAGACTGGAAAAAGACCCAAATTCAACACCCTCATGCAGGTCCCACTGAATGCAGACTGCTTTCAGAGCAGTGCAAAGTCAGAGCATTGTAAGTTAGACCATTGTAAGTCCAGAGCATCTGTAGTTAAAAGAAGGAAAGAAAAGAGGGAGGGAGGATTTGAGACAGAAACAGATGACAGGAGTGAGGGAGGAGATGGGGAGAAGGAGGACGGGAAGGGAAGGAAGGAAGGAAGGGAAAGGGAGAGAGCAGGAGGGTGGAAAGGAGGGACAGGAGACGCATGGAGGCAGAACCACAGATACGAGGAAGCAAGAGGCACAGACAATGCGCTGAGCTTTCCGGAGCCCCTTCCTGCCGCCTGCACCTCCACCAGCCTCCTCGTTCAGCTGTCACTGTGCAAAGGCCACCAGTTTCCTCC